GGGCGGGTTCGGGTTTTTAATGGTCGGAAGCCCTCAGTAGGCGCCCGATTTAGGCCAGTGGGTCCTCCTTGGCTTCCACAGAGTTTCGAGTTCGGGCGGGGGAGGCTCTCCCAGGGAGCGGGAAAAGGGGGGGGGGGGCGAGGCGGAACGGACCAGGGAGCTGAGCCGGCGCGCTCTTTGCTGCAGCGCGACGATCTTGGTGGCCTTTGCGACGCGCTTGAGGGCGGCGAGGGTGGGCACGATGAGCTCCGGGAAGGAGACGTCATACGCGAGTCCGTGCAGGTGCTCGGCGAGCAGGAAGAGCGCCTGCCCGCGCCGCGCGGCGTGAGGAGGAGGCAGCCGGGAGGCGGGGCCCTCCTGTGCCGGGCGGGTGGCGCCTGCTGGACCATGCTCTCCTGGTAGACCCACTTGTCGGCGTCCGCCTTGGACACCTTGATGAGCACGGCCCAGTCGGGCGGCTTGTCGCGCGGCGCCTTCTTCGGCGGCTTCGCGAGCTGCGCGAAGCGGAAGGTCTCGAGCAGCAGCGGCGCGACGGGCACAAAGACGCCCAGCTCCGCAGCGAGGTTGTTGAGCATGCGCACGCACTGGAAGCGGAGGGGCGCGTACCGGATGTTTGGCAGCAGCCGCGCGGTGCCGAGGCAGATCTGGACGAGCGGGTACGCCAGCTGGCGCAGCGGCGAGTCCGCCGGCTTGGCGAGAGCGCACAGGGCCTGCGCCCAGAGCCGGAGGCAGTTGACGTACTGCCACGAGTAGACTTGGCGCGTGGCGGCCTCGCTCGTCTTTTGGATGGCGTTGCGCAAGTGGATGGCGAGCTGGCGGATGTAGACAAACGCCTGGAGGGGGGAAGGAGCGGGGGGGACGGGCGACGGGTGCGGCGAGGGAGGCGGCGGTGTGGTGTGTGGGTGTGCGTGCGTGGGGGGCCGGGCGTGGGTGGCGGTGGGCTCTTGTGCCGCTCACATGCTGGTAGGCTGCGGCGGGGTCGGCGCCGCACAAGTCGACGAGGCAGGAGGAGAGAAGCACGACGCGCGCGAGGCGAGGCCGCGTCATCGCCTTGGCGCCGCGAGCGTACGCGAGGTAGAGCCCCTTGAGCGCCTGTAGAGAGGCTCCGAGACGGCTCCGAGACGGCTCTGAGACAGCTCCGAGAGGGGTCCCCTCGAGCACCTCGTCGAACATGCCTCCCTCGGTGGCGAGCTGGCGCACGGCGGCGTACGACACGAGCGAGCAGCCCTGCCCGCCCGCCTCGGGCGCCGCCCACGCGCGGAGCAGCGCACGCAGCGCCTTGGGGCGCAGCCGTGGGAAGGGCAGCAGGAAGGGCACGAGGCGGTGCAGCTGGCCGAGCGCCACCGACAGCATCTCGGAGCCGCGCTCCGCCGACGAGGCGAGCCGGTCGACAAAGACGACCAGGTTGGTCAGGTATGACTTGACCAGCGGCTGCAGAGCACGCCTACAGCAAGGCTCCGAGAAGGCTCCGAGAAGGCTCCGGCTCTCGACTCGGCCAACCAGGTGGGGGAGAGACGTGCCAGTGTGGGAGCGCGTCCACGCGCACGGCCTTGCCCGCTTTCTTCCCCTCCCGCGTCGCCTTGCTGCTGCCCTTGCGCCCCGCCGGCGCCGCGCCCCCCTCGAGGTGCGCCCTCAGCACCGCGTCCATCTGGCCGATCGAGAAGCGCATCACCGCGTTGAAGGCGTGCGACGAGGCGAACACCATGTCGGAGCTGCCCTCGCTCTCGTCGTCGCCGAAGCGGACCGCGGCGCGGAAGGCCGCCACCAGCTGCTTGAGCGAGGCGCGGTGCGTCTTCCCGCCCGACACCGCCTCCACCCACCCCTCGACGCGAGGCACCGTGAGCTCGACCGCCGCCGTGCGCGGCTGCGGCTTGCGCGGCTGCGCGGCAGCCTCAGCGCCCTCCTCCTCCTCCTCGTCGTCCTCCTCCTCCCCGCCCTCGTCCTCGTCCTCCTCGTCCTCGTCCTCGTCCTCGTCCTCCTCCTCCTCGCCATCGTCCTCCTCCAGCTCCTCCGAATCCGCGTCCTCCTCCTCCTCCGCCTCGCTGTCCTCCTCCTCCTCGTCCTCGTCCTCAAAGTTTAGCAGGCTCTTGTCCGTCTGCTGCAGGTACTTGAAGAAGGCCGGATCCGACTTCTCGAGCGCCTCGAGCTGCGACTTGTGCGACGACTTTTGCGACGACGAGCCTGCACCCTTGCTCCCCGCCTTGGAGCCACGCGCCGCCTTTGCAGCCGGCGGAGGCGGCGCGACCTCCGTCTCCTCCTCCTCGGCCGAGTCGTCGCCCATGTACTGCTCGAAGCCGCCGTCCAAGAAGGTGTCCGCGTCCATCTCCTCAGCGTCCTCTGCAGAGCGCAGCAGCACGTCGCCCGGCCCCGCAGCGTCGGCCTCCACCTTGCGGATGGAGCGGTGGAGGCGGTCCGCCTTGGACTTCTTGATCCGAGCGACCTGCTTCTGGTTCGAGATGGCCACGCCGAGGCGCTTCTTCTGCTGGAGCTTGGTGGGCATTGGGAGGGCTGAGTGCGGGCCAACAGAGAGCGGCCAACAAGCTCCGGGGGGCGGCGACGTCTCCGCCAGGTGGTTTTTTTCGGTGTACAGTGGGTTGCGGGCATTAAGAAAACAGGATTGCGCGGCACGCCGCCGTTTCTAAGCCTTTCCACAGCCCTCATCCACCCCACGCCGTGGTTTCTTAGCTCCGGGCGGGGCACTCAATCAAGCCAGAGCGCCGGCCCGAAGGATTTTTAGGTAAGAAGAGTGTTAAAGCTCGGTCCGCGAGGGCGATGCCAAGAGTCTGCCGCCGAGTCGGCTCTCTGGATGAGGGGAAGACGCACACACGCCTCCATCCACTGACCACTCCACTCAGAACACCGCAGACTTGAAAAGTGACAAGTGCGCTGCCGCAGGCCCAGGCGAAGAGAAATTTTGAGCTGCAGCTGGGGCTCCGGACCCGTTCACACTCGTGTCTGGCCTTTTCTCGGGGCCGCGCCTGCGGCGCCCCGTGGTTTCTTAGATTTTTGCGGAAATCGCTTGGTAGGGTTTCTTAATGCGACGTTTTCTTAATGCCCGCAACCCACTGTATTGTCTTACGTCATTTTTCGCCTTTGATTTTTCTTCGTGTTGCACGAAGAACAAACGGAGAAACCAGGCTGCAAACATTTACGCAGTGACGCAAGGGAGTCTAGGCGACGGTGGCGTCCTCCGACGCCGCGGCGAGCCTGAGCTCGGTCGCAATCTGATCCGCCGCCGCGAGCTGCAGCGCGACTGACATACCCGAAGGTGAACCTATGAGGGTTCCGGATGTTTCCGTGCTTTTCTTCTTTCTGTTCTCTCACAAGAGAAAAACAACCAGAGCACCCGCGCCGGGCCGCGCCCTGCATCTCGAACCGCTGACGCCCGCGTCAAACAGAGGCGAAGATGGATCAATCCAACCTCTCCGCCTACGAGCTCGAGCGGCTCGAAAACATGAGGCGCAACGCGGCGCACCTCGCGAGCCTCGGCCTCGACGACGCGAGCAGCGCCCCGGCACGCTCCCGCGGCGGCGCCTCCTCCCGCAAGCGGCCCGCCGCGCCTCGCCCGCTGCCCACGGCCCAAGCGGTGCGCCGCTCGTCGCGGCAGCGCGTAGCGGTGACGCCATACACGGACGCCACGCCGCTGCCCGACGCACGCCGCGCGCCGCCGCCGTCGTCCGCCAGTCACGCGGAGCCGGTTGGCTACGGAGAGCCCACCGCGCTCGACGCCGCCGGAGCGGCCGCGATGCGGAGCGCGCTCGAGTCGCGCGAGCCCGCGGAGCGCGGCTCGACGCGCGGCGTCCGCGTCGACGTGCCGGCGCTGCTGCGCGGCGGCCTCGGCGAGCACGTAGCCGGGCCGTCGACAAAGGCGTCGGTGGTGGCGCTCCTGGCGGGCGCAGGGGGGAGCGGGCGGCAGATGCCTCGCTTCTCAAAGTACGCGGGCGGGCTCGAGTGGGAGAACGCGGTGAGTCTCTTCATCAACATTGGCGGCAGCGACTACAACAACACCTTCTCGCACGGCGGGCGGCGCGTCAGCTGGTTTGGAGGCAGCAAGATGCACCTCGACACGCCCCTCGTGCAGCGCCTGCTCACCGGCGCCGAGGCCGAGGAGGAGGGCGGGGAGGGCGGGGAGGGCGCCGCCACGGTGCTCCTGTTTTGCCGCGAGGTGGGGCGCGAGACGGGCGCGTACGTGTGCTGCGGCCGGCTGCGGTACGTGCAGCACTGGCAGGTGCACCCGCTCAAGTTCGAGTGGGACCTGCTCGACTTTGACGAGCTGGCCGCCTCCAAGCCGCCCTTCAAGGCGCTGATGAGGCTCGCGCGGCCGTCGACGAAGTAACTCGGAGGGGACACCCTCTCGCAGTGCTCACACCGCCCTCGGCTCTAGCGATCGCAGCGCCGCGGGTGTCGACGGCTCCGGCCATGCAGACGAAGCGTATAGTGTAAGGTAAGGTAAGGTACGTAAACGTCTCAGACGGAGCGGACACGCGTCGGTGCGGCCGCAGGAGAGGAGCGGGGCGGCTGTAGTGGCTGTCGGCACGCCGCTCTGGCTTCTGGCTAGTGTTCGTCCATTTCACTGCTGCGTGCTGGCGCACACAGACAGCTCGCGTTAGCCGTTACAAAACCTTGATTTTGACCATTTGCGCACTGTTGTACCTCCCCAGGACGCGCAGAGGCAGCTGCGACCCCGCCGAGTGGACGGGCGCACACCGCGCCATGGCGTGAAGGAAATGTCCATGACTCTCATCATGTCATGCCATGACCGAAAATGTGGGAGTCGGCACACTAGAGGGAGCGGACCCTGAGTTGAGGAAATCGGGGGACGCGACCCACTTCGCCACAGACGGTCCCGCGCCTCGCCGCTGCTATGACGGGTAGACGACCGCGGCTCGTGTGCGTCTACCCGTCTTTGTCCGGAGTGAAAAGTCCAACGCGCTCGTCGGTGACGGCGTCCCCCGATTTCGCCGCGCTCGGCGAACCTCGACAGCGCTTTCGGTGGCATGCAGCTCTTTGCGCCTGAAGCCTGGAGAGCAGCTCCTCTGCTGCTCATACGCTCTGCACAGTTGGCACAGCCTACTGTGCGGCTGCCACAGCTGTGACAGCGATGGGCTCGCCCTCACTGGCCCTCAGTCACTCGTGCTGCGGCTTGTGTGAGCGACACTGCTCGGCGACTGCCGGCACACTGTGAGACCATGGGTGTGAGGTAAAACCACGCTACCAGCGCTTGGTCACATCAGCCCTGAGGTCATATCCTTCTCCTCTGTTGATGGTAACACTTGTCTACTCGCTGGAGCCGAGCAGGAGGGCTTGGCGCACAACCCCTGTTCAACTCAGGGTCCGCACCCCGTATACTCACATAGAGCCGTACGCTATACACATGTCACATCACACTTCTCTCACACACACACTGTCTCACTGTGCGAGCGGCAGCGGGAGGAGGTGCACATATATGTCATATATGCGCTTCCAGGATCTTGCACCTGGCCCGAAGGCTGACGAGACAAGCGCGTCCGTGCAGAAAAGATTTTGTCAGACTCGCAAGGGCGGGTAAACACCAGCTCGTCATTCGAACTGCTGCAGCGACGCTGAATTCCTCTCAATGCTCAACGCCCGCGGCGGCGGCCGGACCCCTCCCCACCCCGCTCCTCTGCGAGCCTGGCGAGTCAGCCGGCGAAGCGGTGAAGTGGCCAGCTGCGGTCGCTCCCGGCGGCGGGGTCTCAGGCAGGTCCTTCATCTGCGTCCACGTCATCGTCGCCTCGGCCTCGCGCCGCCGCCGCCGCTGCGCGCGGAGCGCCCCGCCGACGGCGACAAAGGCGGAGAGCATGGCGACAGACGCGGCGGGCGCGCCGAGGCCGAGGCCGCCGTCGCCGCGGCGCGCGCCGCGGCCGTTGGGCAGCAGGCTGGCCGGCGGTGGCGGTTGCCGATCGCGGTCGCACTTGCCGCCGCTACCGCCGTGCCGCGCGATGACTGCGGCGCCGTCTGACGCTGCGCCGTGGAAGCAGACGCAGAGCGGTGCGGAGGAGAAAGAGAGCCCGTCGTGCGAGAGGGCGAGCAGCACGGGAGCGCAGCCGTCGCTCGCGACAGACGAGGGGGCCGCGACGGCGACCAGCAGCCGCCGCTGCTCCTCCTCGTCCGAGACGACCTCGACCCTCCCGTCCGCGAGCAGCTCAAAGTCGGTCGGCAGCGCGAGGGCGAAGGGGGCGCGCACCGGGAGCAGGAAGGTCGCCGAAGCGTTCGCGCGCAGCGCCACCGCCCCGCCCGCAACCACGTCGTCCGGGTCGAGCTCAGGCGGAGGCAGCGCCGCCGACTCGCACGCCGCGCCGCGGAACCCCGGCTCACAGACACAGCGGCCCGCGTGGCAGCGGCCGCGTTCGCTACAAGCGGGGTCGCAAGCCGGCGGCGGCGGCGGGAGGGGCGCTGCTGCGGCGGCGGGGTCGACCACGGCGAGGCGGCCCGAGGCAGAGAGCCCGAGGATCTCCGGCTCGAGGCTGCAAGACGCCTTCACGGGCGGGAGCACAAAGGAGCCGCGCGTGACGGCCACCGCCTCGAAGCTGACCGAGTGGGTGCCGGCGCTCACCCACGAGGCGGAGAAGGTGACGCGGTCGGGGCGCGTCTCGCGGCTGAAGGCGGTGCAGCGCCACCACCAGCAGCCCGAGCCCCACGCGGCGTACAGGGGCACCACGCCGCCGCCGCCGCGGCTGCTGCGGGAGGCGCCGAGCCCGCCGTCGGCGTTTGGGTCGACCGCCTCGAGGCCTGCGGGCAACCACGCGTCGACGAGCAAGTTGTGCAGCGCGTCGACCGACGACAACTGCACCGTCACTGTCACAATGGCGCCGAGCGGCACCGAAGCGAGCGGAGGCCCCACCGGCCCGTCCAAGCCCGCGTCGTGCCTGCGGATGACGCGCTCCACGCGGAGGCCGCGGCTGACGGGCTCTTCGAAGAGGTCGAATGGCACAAAATCGACCGCGAGGGCAAAGGAGACCTCGCCGTGGCCCGAGGAGAGCACGAGGAACGGCGGCGGCGAAGGCGGCAGCGCCGCCCAAGCCAGCGCGAGGGGCGGCGGCGGTGGCGCGGCGGTGGTCACCTTGAGCGTTGGGGCGGCGGAGGCGGAGGCGGGGCCTAGCGGGCCCGGCAGCCGCTTTGCGCCAACGAAGGCCGTGATGGCCACCGATGCGTCCGTGGAGGAGGTTGCGGTGTCGTAGTCTCCCAGCGCAAGCGCCACGAGGGGCAGCGCGCCTCCGTGCGAAGAATAGGCGGCGAGGCCGTTGGCCAACTTGTCAATGTTGGCAGTCACCTCTCCCGGCACGGTGGCCCCGCGCGTTGCGGCGGCGCGCGCGGCGGCGAAGGCGGCGAGCGCGTAGGAGGAGGCGGCGGCGCCCGCGTCGTTGGCCGAGCCCGAGGCGGCGGCCAGGTAGGCGGAGCGGCCACGCACGCGCAGCGACGAGGCGAGGTAGCGCAGCACGGCGAGGGCAGCGTCGGGGAGGTCCACCGGGGCGAAGCCAGGCGCGTCGGCGCCGGGCGAGCCGGGCAGGAGCATCGCCAAGGCGAATGCGGCCTTGCCCGAGGCGGAGAGGCTGTCCACCGACGACGCGAGGCGCTCGGTGGAGAGAGCGGCGGCGGTGACGGGGTCGTTCGGCTGCCACTCAGTGCCGAGAGCGAGGCGCGCGAGGGCGAGGCTCGAAAAGTCGCTCCACTCGTGTCCGCGCGCGGCGGCCTGCGCCACCTCGGCCTCGAGGCAGCCGGCGAGCGCCTTGGTCCAGGAGGCGCGCAGGGCGGCGAGGGCGGGCAGGGCCCGCAGCCTGCCTGCCAGGGCGAGCTTGCGCAGCAGGAAGAGCCCGAGGGCGGTGAGCTGCGTGTTGCAGGTGCGGTGCTCCGCCGCGTAGCTCGCCGCAGAAGGCCCGTTGTGCAGCCCGTACTGGTTGCTCAGCTGCTCGAGCGGGGCTGCGGCGGACTCCACAGCGAGGGCGGCGGCGGCGCCGAGCGACGGCACAGACCTGCCCGCGGCGTAGGGCAGCAGCGCGGCGTGCGCTCCGACGAGGCCCAAGCAGGCGCTGGCGCCGTCGATCGCGTCGGGCGGGCTCGGATCGGCCGCCCGGAGCAAGGCGCTGGCAATGGCCTCGACTGCGGGCAGCCGGCCGGCGCCGAACGTGGCGGTGAGGCTGCCGGAGCCTGGGACCGCGCGCGGCAACGAGATGCCCTCGCGCCAGAGGCTGGGCGCAGCGGTGGCGACGAGCGCGCGCGAGGTGGCGAGTTGGACGGGCGGCTGCTGCCCGAGGATGGGAAGCTTGAGCTCGAGCGCATCGGCGGGAGCGCCGCTGGCGCTGACACGCGCGGTGAGGACGGCGGAGCCGATTGCGACGGCACGCATCTCAAAGGCGACCTCGACCGTCTGCGAGGGGGCGAGCGACAGCGTGCGATTCGTCTCGAGCAGCGAGAGTGGCGCCGGCTGCGACGTGGCCGGCGCGAGGCCGAGCGTGACTGTGGCAGCGGTCCCGGCGGGCAGGTCGGGGGCCGCGGTGAGGGTGACGCCGCACGAGAAGGCGTCGCCCACGCGCCCGATGCGCGGGGTGGATGCGGACAGGGAGAGCGGCTTGCGCACGAGCTGCTCGGCCGTGCCGTGCCCAAACCCGTCGCCCTTGTCCGACACGGCGTACGCGCGCAGCTCAAAGGATCCCGTGTTGTCGGGCAGTGTCCACGGCACCGTCAGCTCGCCCGACGGCCCGACGCGCAGCGACGGGCGAAAGAGCGGCGTCGTCACGAAGTTGGATCGTACATGCACACCGGGGCCGGTGGCCGGCGGCGGCCGCCCTGCCGAGCTGCGCGAGCTCCGCGCCATTGGCATGGCGTCGTCCATGGCCTCCATCGGCGCTGCTGCTGCGAAGGCCATCATCGGCGCCGCCTTGAGCATCATCTCCGGCGCACCACCGAGAAGGTTGTCGCCGAAGAAGCCGCCATCGATCCCGTGACGCAGGTCGTCGCCATACATGCCGCCGGAGCCCGATGGTAGCTGCGTCAGGGCGCCGACGTTGGCCGCGAGCACGTCGCTCGGGTCTCGCTCGAGGTCAGACAGCTGCCAGTCGTCGGAGGCGGATGCGCGTGCGCGCCAGCTCAGCCGCAGGAAGGGGTCCGCCTCGAGCAGCGAGAGGAGCCGGGCCGAGGCGTTGGCCAGGCCGGCGGCGGAGACGAGCTGCTCGTAGGAAGAGGTTGCGGCGTAGTCGCCTCCCATCACGTCCGGGGACAGCGCACCGCCGACGTCGACGGGAGGGTTCGGCCGCAGCTGGAGGAGGGCGCGGTCCACCGCGAGCAGAGCAACCTCGCCGGCGACGGGCGAGCCGCTCGCGTCGGCCAGCCGCACCGTCACTGCGCCGGCGGCGCCCGGCAGCTCCACGGGACGCGCCGCAGTCACGGAGACGGTGATGGCGTTGGCGGGGGACGGCACCGACGCCGCCAGGTCGAAGGAGGCGAGCATCGGCGCGCGCGGCTCGAGGAGGAGCGAGGTTGGCACGTCACCCGGGAGAGCAGCGCGGCTCGCGTTCGAGGCGGCGGCGAGGTGGAGAGAGATGCGGCAGCCGCCCACACACTCCTCGCCGAGCATGAGCTTGACGGCGCCGTCGCCGGGAGGAAGCGGCGGCGGCGTGATGTGTCGCCGGCTGAGCGTGTTTCCCCACGCGACGAGCACGGCGAGGGGCGAGCCGAGCGGGTTGTAGACGCGGATCGACGCCGTCTCGCCCCGCGCGTACGTCTCTGCGTCGAGCGCGGGAGATAGCGCCCTCTCGAGGTAGTCGGAGCCGGCTGGCTTGCGGCGCCACTGGGGCCGCGAACGGCCCAGCACCACCGCAGAGCACACCCCGCCCTCCTCGCACGCGGCGAGTAGGAAGTGGCCCATCGAGGGCAGCTGCAGCGCGCACGCTTGCGCGGTGTCGGCGCGGCCCTCCGAGCTCGTGGTCAGACCGTTGCAGCCCGGCTGGTCGCGCAGCAAGTTGGCGCTCTCCGGTGGAAGAGCGGTCGGCCGGCCGTCGACGAGCCACTCGACGCCGTGGAAGAGATCGGCGGCCGAATCGAGCTCGGGCGAGGGGCGCGCGTCCAGCGTGGCGCTCCCGTCGGCCCGCGAGAGCTGGAAGAGCGCCAGAGCCACCGTCGCACCCGCGACCGGCTCGCCGCCGAGCGCCTCGTGGCGGCGCACCGTCAGGCGCGGCGTAAAGGGGACGGAGGGCAGCTCGGAGTGCGACGGCGGCTCGAGCCGGACTGTTCGCTCGCTCAGCGCGACGGGCACTGCCAGCGACCGGCTCACCACCTCGCGGGTCGGCCCGACCCACTCGAAGGAGAGGTGGAGCGAGTCGCCGAGCTTGAGGGGCCGCGAGGCGTTTGGCGGAGGAGACCACTCTGCGGCGAGCGAGCCTACGAAAAAGGCTCCAAGAAGGTTTCTACAGCAGGTCCCTGCAGAGGAAGAGACGTTCCCGCGGCAGGAGTGCGCCGTCCCCGCCGGTGACCAGGACCTCCTCGCCGGAGGAGGGCAGCTCCTCACCCTCCTCACCCTCCGCCGCCTCGTCGCGCGGCAAAAGGCAGTAGGAGCACGTCGGCGGGGTCGGCCGTCCGTCGACTCTCCAGCGCAGCGTGACGCGGGCGCCGCCGAGCGGAACCCCCGAGAGAGTGCGAGTGGCGAGCGAGAGGGAGACGGACCCGCCCGGGGGCACGACACGCATCGCCCCCGCGGCGACGGAGGCGTCCATCGCGACGGTCGGCGGGCGCGGGTCTGCGACGGCGAGGGTGACGCTGTCCAGGAGGCGCCGGTTGTCGCCGGGAGCGAAGCCGGGGCCGCCGCGGCGCACGAAGGCGAGGAGAGAGACGCGGTGCTCGCCGTACTGCGCGCCGGTGGGCACGGCTGTCGAGAGGGAGAAGGAGCCGCTCGACGGCTCGTAGTCGACGTCGAGCAGCGTCTCGCCGCCGTCGCCCCACCGCGCCGAGATGCGGAGGCGCGGCGGCGTGGCTGGCGAGGCGAGCGTGCCTCGCTCCACGAGCCGCACGTAGCCGTGCAAGTGGAGAGGGTCGCCAGCCTTGTAGACGGCTCTGTCCGAGAGGAGGACGCTGCGCAACGCCGCGGCGGGCGGCGCGGACCTTCCGGAAAGCAGACACGCGTTGGACGAGTGCGTCAGAAGAGGGGAGGTGCCAACGGCGGGCGGAGGAGCGCCCTCGCGACGGCAGCGACGGGAGGAGGAGCGTCTCGCCCGACGGCGCCTCGACGAGCAGCGCGCGGCGGTTGCGGAGGGCGGCCCTCGGCGGCGGGAGCGCCGCGACGCCGGAGCCGTCGGTGGTGGCGGTGGCGGCGGTGCGGATGTCTGAGGGCGAGCACGCGTAGCAGCCCCAATCATAGAGCGTGGCAATGGCTCCGGCGAGCGGCTTGTTGGTCGCCGTGTCGATGGCCCACACCAGCGCCGCCCCGTCGGAGGAGAGGACGTGCGCTGCGGCGGCGCTCCCCGCGGAGACGAGCGACGCCTGACGAGCCATTCACAGCTGCTCATCGGAGCCCATCAGGCGGCACCTTGCCCGACGAGAGACGGGCGACGCCGACGCGCGGGAGATGGAAGACCGCTCGCGGAGCCGCGTGAGCACCTGCCGCGTGCCTACGGGAAGCTTCCTAGACGGCTCCTAGACGGCTCCTAGAAGAGCCGCGTGGGAAGCTGCCGCGTGCCCCGCCGCAGCGCGCCGCCGAGGGGAGCGGTGCGCGCCTCCGCCTCGCCGCTGCCGGGGAAGGGGAAGGAGGAGAGGGCGGTGCCACCGGCGAGCAGCGCGTCGACGGCGGCGCTCCTACGTTGCGCAGCCAGGCGAGCTAAGGGCGGGAGCGCGGTGTCGTGCGGTGTGATGTCGAGGCGTTGCATGAGTGCGAGGAGTGCGAGGGCGACAAATGACTGCGTGTCTTTAGCGTGTGTGTTCAGCATCTGGGGCCGCCGCTCCGCCGCTTGGCGTCGTCCGAGAGGCCGCCGGAGAGGGCGGCGAGGAGTGCCTGGAGGGAGGGGGGGAAGCCTCAGGTGAGCGAGACTGCATGGCATTGCTTGGGGTCGTTGCGAGAGCGGAAGAGACGAGGATGGAGGCCGAAGCGGCTCTGCTGGCGAAGGGGGGGGGGGGGGGGTTGGGGGGGGCCTGGTGCGACGAGGCGGGCACAGGCGCGAGCAGCGCAGACACGGCTTCGGCCTGGCCGCACTTCTTCTTGCCGTCGAGGCACGCCGGCCCGCCTTGCACGACGGCGGGCCAGTTGTCGGGCGGGTCGAGGCCGCCCGCCCCGGAGGCGAAGCGGAGGGGCCTCCCCTGCCCGTCGGGGAGGGTGAGCCCCGCGTCTGCTGCTGCGGTGTCAAAGGTCGTGTACGAGTGCTGCAGAGGCAGGCCGAAGGCGTCCCTCACCTAGAAGGTTCCGGGAAGGTTCTGGGAAGGTGCCGGGAAGGGTTGCAGGCCGAGGGCGTCCCTCACCCGGCCCGAGCCAGAGACGGAGAGAGTGTAGCGCGTGTCGGGGAGGAGGTCCGCCTCGAGTAGCGCGACAGCGCCGCCTGCTCGCAGCTGTGCGTGTGATGACACATCCCGCTCGCCGCCCGAGCAACGGCGGCGCGGCGCCTGGCCGCGAGAGCATGAGCGGGAGAGCAGCGCCCGTGCTGTTGAGCCGCAAGCTCATCTGAGCCGCGAGAGCGTCGATGGCCACCGACGCGGCGAGCCCGTGCCGCAGCAGCAGCCGCTGCCGCCGGGCCGACGGCCGCATCGCCCTCCACTCGTCTGCTGGCGGCTCGGTCTGCCGAAAGGGGATCGAAAAGGGCAGGAGGCCGCTGAAGCGCGCCTCGACGGCGCTGCCCAGCGGGCCGCACGAGGAGTGGTACCGCGTCCCCGCAGGAAGGAGGAGCCTGTGCACGGCGCCCACGCCGAGCGGCGCGCCTATCCCACCGCGCTGCACGGACGCGTCACGGACGTGTCTGCTGCCAGACTGCCAGCGCTTCCGCCGAGCAAGGTGCGCGCCCTGCAGCGAGAGGGAGGCGCAGCTGGCGCGTTCGGCGCGGCAGGCGGAGAGGGAGAGGGTGGTGCCGCTCGCGGGCGGGTCGAGCTGGAGCGCCGAGCCGATCGCGGACCGGTCGACGGCGTGCGAAAAGTGCAGCTCCACGCTCGCGTCTGGCGGCAGCTCGAGCGCGCCCGGCGCTGCCGGCAGCAGCCGCGGCGACCACGAGCCGTTGGTGGCGGCGGCTGCGGCGGCGGAGGAGACGTCGCCGGCGCGCATGGTGAGGCCCGGCGTGGTGAAGCGGCGAGGGAAGCCGTCGGCGGCGACGCGCAGGCCCTCGTACGACGTGAGCCCTGGCTTGACGCCGACTGAGAGATGCAGGTCGGTCGGCCAGCGCTCGTCGGGGTCGAAGCGCGCGATCGAGGTGGTGACCCAGCGCACGGATCCGGCGACGGGCGGTGAGAGAAGGAACGGGTTTAGCGATTCGGGCAGCTGGCCCGGGCCCCAGTCCGACCCGAGCGCAATGACGGCATGCGTGAAGGTCATCGTCAGCGGCTGCACGCCCAAGAGTTTGACGGTTGGAGTGGTGGCGCCGACTGCCGCCGATGAGGCGGAGGGAGTGAACGCGGCGACGCGCATGCTTTCGGCGGGTGTGGCGAGAGCCACGATGGCGAGCATGTGCATGAGAGGCCTTTGATGTCGAGCGCCCTCAGGTCAGGACGCGTCTTGAGGGTGGCTCTGCGCCCGCTTTTTTCTTTCTTACTGGCGAACGTTTTCTTGCCCGAGAAAAGAAATTCGCCGAGGTGCGCGTGGCGTAAAACTCACGAGATGTCTGCAGCGAACCAGTCTGGTATGGAGCCTCCGCTCATGCTCACGGCGCTCCCCTCGGAACTCCTCACGCACGTGTGCCTTCTCGCAGCCTGCCCGTGCCGGCTCACGTCGACCTCGTGCCTGCTCACCCTCGTGCGCGCCTCACGCACGTGTAAGCCGCTCCACGAGTGTGCAGATGCAGCCGCTCTTCAGCTGGCAGAGAGCCTTGGCTACGACCTCGACAAGGGCGACCCGGATTGGGTGCGTCCGGACTGGTCGATGCTCGAGCGCCTCTACACGCTTTACCAGTCGGACAATGCGGCCAGGATGCCGACCGCGGTGCACGCCGAGGACGGCACTGCTGCGCTATCTGTGCTGCGAGAGCAGTTTGGACACTTCCACCCGATCCTCTGCCAGCAGCTCGTTCTGCCAGCGGACGCGTCTGATCAGCCTCGAAACGAAGACACCAAGCAGCTTCCTCCCGGAGCAGCCGAGTATGCGAACTTAGCCGCGCTGTACTGCTCAGCGGTGCCATCTCAAGGCGCGGAGCAAGGCGCCGATGACGAGGCACCTCCTGGGACACGGGAGATGCAAGAGTGGGTCGAGGCAGGATGGGCAGAGGGCTTCGACGCCGAGGGCCGCGCCCACTTTGGAGGCGAGCTCGCAGGCAAGTCCGGCGAGGACGCGTATATCGGGGCGACAGAGTTACTTGTCGCGCTCTTCCACAAGCGGTTCCGAGCGTGCATCGTCGAGATCGACAACGACCGCCCAGGCCACACCATCTTCAACGTCGCCAAGAAGGCCTTCTCCTTCGACGAGCCAGCGTGCCTCCCGATCTTCCTGCAAAAGGATGGGCACTCGTTTCTGATTGTTGGAGTCACTACATGCCTGACGGCCGCGGACACTGGCAAGCTCCTCGTTTGCGATCCAAACAAGCCCGGTCGCGTCATTGCCATCGACCCCCAGCTCAAGCTGAAGGGGAGCAGACAATACCAGCTCCTCATCGTCTTGGGCCGGGAGCCGTTCCCGAACATCTCCCGGGAGGTGTGCCTCACCTTGAATCAGCAGGACGGTGCAGGGGATGACGGCACAGACCTGTATCCCGCCGGGGCGTGTGTCGGCAGGGGCATGCCGCAGTGGCGCTTCGGCCCTTTCCCATCTGGCCGCCGGACCTACCGTGATCTGACCCCGAGCATCATTTGGTTCGAGCGTGCGATGCGTTCGACGCCCGACTGGTTCACTCCGACGGGTTTCCGGTGCGTGTACCGCATGGGCGGCGAGGACCAGTCGGAGTTCCCGTACCTCGTCATGGTGCAGCGCGGGAAGCGCAATGTCAATCTGGGGCGGTTTCCCACCGCAGAGGCGGCGGCGCGTTTTTTCGCGCAATCGCCGGAGGGCCAAGCGCGGCTAGCGGCGCAGCACGAAGATGAGGTCCTGCCCAGCCTCGACACCCTTGCTCTTGGGTGATGTTGAGGTGCGGGGGTCTGCACCAAGGCCCTAGCAGGCTCTCTACTCCGTACTACTGATGTGTTTTTTTCCAGCCTCCCGCGTCATTTGACGCAACGGAAAGAAGGATTTTGATGTGGTTCGCGAGCTCTCGCAAGAGAGTGAGCTCTACACAGTATCGTAAAGAAGTCAAAACTAAGGCAGAAAGGAGACACTGTGTGTGAGCTGTGATGTGTGAAAGCTCAGAAAAGTTCTCAGGTCTCAGGACGCACTCAACGTGCTCAGCGCGGCTGGTGCTGAGTGGTAGTACCCCTCCTCAACCAGCGTGATCATGCCTGTGAGCGCGCCCCAGTGGTAGAACTTTGTGCCCGAGCAGTCGCCGTGGTGGTCGTCCGCGGTCTTGTGCGGCGAGTAATTTTCGCAGATGTGGCGGTGCGCGCGCCACTGCGAGAGCATCAGCGCCGTCATCTGAGAGCACAGCGCCTTGCGGCCGGCGCGGACGGCGGGGACGTGGTCATACTGCTGCAGCGACCAGTACGTCAGCATCGCCATCGGCCCCCACACGTAGCCGCGCCAGTAGCCGAGCGGCGGGAAGGCGGGGTCCGAGCGCTGGATCGACGGCAGGCCCCAGTAGCAGTCGTCGTGGTTGCCCTGCATGTCGCCGTCCTTGGCGATGCAGAAGCGCTCGGGCGAGTGCAGCCACTGCTCCACCATCGCCGCCGCCTGCTCGTCGGTGGCGGCGCCGGCCATGAGCGCGTAAAAGGAGGTTGGCGAGATGCGCCGGTAGAAGGTGCCATTCCAGAACCGGTTGACGAAGATGCCCGACTCGGCGTCCCAGAGGTGCGCCTTGATGAGGGCGCGCTGCGCCGCGGCGCGAGCCGAAAGCGCCGCCACGTCGTCGGCGCGGCCGAGCAGCCTCGCCAGCTCGCTGAGGCTCTCCGCCTCCTGCACGAACATCGAGGCCATCCCGACGTCGTACAGCTCCATCTGCCCGACCGCGAACGCGCCGTCGACCGCCACGGTCGCGTTGAAGAATGCGCCGTCGTACATCGGCGAGTTGTCGAGCCCGCTCTCGTACCGCGCGCCCTGCATCGCGTTGGCAGCCGCGTCCTTGAAGCCGTCGATGCGGTCCGAGCCGAGCGAGATGAGCCGCGCCTGTTCGCCAGTCCCGCCACGCTCAGAGCAGCCGGCCAGGCCCCGGCCCCCGCCAGCCCCGAGTGGGGCGTCGCACCGGCCCGAAAGCCCGCGAGGCGAGGAACCAGTCGCTCCACCTCTTGAGGTCGTCGAACAGCAGCTGCACCAGCCACGTGTCCGAGTACTTGCGGTGCAGCTCGAGCAGGACCTGGGTGCGGCACCGCGCGGCTGAAGAGACGGCGGCAGCGCGATAGGACGGGCTCATGGGGCCGCGGGGCCTTTGCGCCGATCGGCGGCTCGGTGCGGTCGACGCTCTTCGACCCGCCGGCGGAGTAGTTTGGGACGAAGCCGCGAGACGTGCGGCTGCGCACCACCTGAGCGAGGGCTGGAGGGCGGTGTGGGAGAGAGGGGCGTGGCGGTGTCCGGCAGAGAGGGTGTGTGGCCGTGTCTGGGCGGCAGGGTGTGGCGAGGGCATGGCGGTGTCTTGGCGGGGCGGGGCGGGGACTGGGCGGGAGGCCCTCGGGGGGGTGGCCGCCTGGATGAAGTTTGAGTAGGCGACGTCCTTCGCCGCGGGGTCGAGCGAGGTCATGTAGGTTGCGAAGATGTTGTCCCAGTCGAAGATGACGTACGCCCAATCGTTGTTGGCCGCCTGCTTGACGAAGTTCCAGGAGCGAGAGACGGGCAGGAAGGGGCCGTACTCGGCGGGCGAGTAGACGTAGTTCCAGAACGTGGCCGCCTGCAGCCCCTCCTTGACGGAGGAGAGAGCGCCGTACGCTGCGTACCGCCGCGACTCCCTGGCGAGGGACGCGGCGACCGACGCCCTCACGTCGCCGAGCGAGGGCGGAGCTAGGGGCGGGGCGGACGCGTTCCCCTCGCACAGCGCGACGGCACCCCGCCCCAGAGAGAGCGTGAGGTGCGGCGCAGCGCGCAGGGCCTCCGGCAGCAACGCGTCCGCCCTCGCAGAGTGGCGCGCCGTCGGCCGCACCTCCGTCGGCGGCATGCCGAGCGGCGAGAGGGTGACGAGGCCGCCGCCCGACGAGGGGTCGACGAGGACGCTGCCTCGCCGGTACCACGCAAAGCGAGGCTGCACGACGAGCGCAAAGTCGGAGCAGTTTGCGGCGCTTTGCCCCGCGGCGCCGGCCGGCGAGGCAGTCTTGTCGCAGCCGAGAGGCTCGACGAGGAGGCGGAGAGGGCCGTCGCCTCCGAGGTAGGAGAGGGAGAGGTTGAGCCCCTTGTAGGCGACGTAGTACTGCCAGTAGCTCTGGTCGATGGCGAAGGGTCCGACCCGGATCGCCGCCGCCGTGTCCTCGATCCGCGTGCTCTCGAGGCACTCTCCAGTCGAGAGCTGGCAGATGGCCGTGGTCAGCACGAAGCTCTGCGGAAGCCGGGCGACACTCAGCAGGTTGTACAGCCACAGATTCCAGCCGCTCTGAAGCGACCTCTGCAGAGAGCGCCGCTGCAGCTCCACCGCCGAAGAGCCCGGCGTCAGAAGGCGGGGCGGCACCGCAGAAAAGTTGGCCGGCGCGTCGGCGGCGAGCGGCGAAGCGAGTGACGCCCAGCGCACCGACACGTCCGCCGGTGTGTCCCTGACCGGCTGCTCGGAAGAGGCGTAGATGTGGATCACGATGTGCTGCCTCGTGGCGGCGCTGTACGAGAGCGGATTCTCCTTTGAGCCATCGATGGAGGAGTTTGTGTTGCCGAAGGGCGGGTCGGTGTGGCAGACGAGGTGGTCCTCGATCCAGACAAAGACGATCTGGCCGCCCGCGATTCTGCACGAGAAGGCGTAGTACGAAGCGTTTGGAATATCAAGCGTGCCGGTGATCTCTGTGGAGCCTCCGGGCTGGATCGAAAAGTCGAGCGAGTCGATGGTCGACGTTTTTGGTGTGCCGTGGAGTGCACTGGTGGAATATGTGTCCACTTTGAGCGTGGCCGTGGAGGAGAGGAGGAGGGAAAGCATGATGGGCATTGGGGCGGCCTGCAGTGGCGTGCGAGTCAACAGGTGTGACGACTGTTTTCTTTTCCTGCTACTCCCTAGGGAGTATAGTGCCTTGTTTTTGTTAGTGCTTTGAGAGAGGCTTGTGATCTGTGATCTGTGAGGTTCCGCCCGCAGGCGCATTTTGTATACCGAGGCGGTGCCCGGTCCGAACCTGTTGGCCTTGAGACGCATTGCACATGTGCATGTGCATGTGGATAGATCCCTGGGCGAGGGTGGATCCCTGGGCGAGGGTGGAGAGAGAGATTTTTAGCAATACCAAACAACTCAACACTCACACATCAGTTGGGGCCTGGAGCTTTGTTTGTGAGGGTGGTGGCTTGTGTAGTGTGAGAAGAATTAAGGTTCTCCGGGCCAGTTGGGGGGGGCAAACCCTGCCCGCCCCCTAGGACCCCAGGTAAGGCCCAGGTGTGGCCTACAGTTCCGGACGGGCATTAAGAACGCACAGGTTCTTCGCCCAGCCTCAGGTTCTTAGCTAAGTCGGCGGTCCGTCGGGGGCCGAGCCTCAGGTTCTTAACCGGGTGGATGGTTTTTTAAACCGTTTCGGCTTCGATTAAAAATCAATAAATGGGTCTTAAAACAGTTTGGAACAGTAAGTTCGCGCATGGCGTGACAAGAGAGTCATTCGCTGCCGTGAGCTGCCCCTGCGGCTGCGGCCGCGGGGGCAGGGGCGCCGGCTGCAGGCGTTGGCCCAGCCTCAGGTTCTTAGGGAGTTCTTAGGGATCCGGCCGAAATATGAGCCTCAGGTTCTTAACGTTAGAGGTTCTTAATGCCCGTCCGGAACTGTAGGGCATCAGAAGGGATCAAGAGGAGTCCAGTCTGAGCCATAGAAACCATGTCTTTGCCCCCGAAGGTCGCGTTCAAATGCCCGGAACGGACGTCACAGTGGTGTCCGGCCGGCGCGATCACCGAGCTGTGACGCTCAGGGAAGCCGGTTGAGGTGCTGGTTTCTTTGGCCAGGCCTGGCCTACGGCCCGTGCTGGATCAGCTGAGCAAGGTTTGGGGAGAATCCCCCATTCAGATCTTCAGATATTTTGACGGATGACCGAAATCACCCCGTTTTTGCCCATTTTCGGTCATCCGTCAAAATATCTGAAGATCTGACCGGGGGATTCTCCCCAAACCTTGCTCAGCTGATCCAGCACGGGCCGTAGGCCAGCCCAGGGCAAAGAAACTAGTACCTCATCAGGCTTCCCTGAGCGTCACAGCTCGGTGATCGCGCCGGCCGGACACCACTGTGACGTCCGTTCCGGGCATTTGAACGCGACCTTCGGGGGCAAAGACATGGGCTCTATGGCTCAGACTGGACTCCTCTTGGTCCCTTCTGATGCCCTAGGCCATACCTGGGCCTTGCCTGGGGTTCTAGGGGCCGGGCAGGGTTTGCCCCCCCAAACTGGCCCGAGGGACCTTAAGATTAAGTGAAGAAATCCCGAAGCCGCGGTCTCGTGCCGTCGCGTTGTGGCACGTGGCCGCCCGCGCAACTCAAATCACACGCTAAACGCAAACGAGGCGAGGGCGGCGGGGCACTCCAAGTTGAACGCAAAGGCGATCCGGGCAGTGCTGGCGTCCAACCCGCCGGACGCCTTCCCCGCCGCCCCCCCTCCCGCCGCCTCGCCGGACACGACCGCGTGCGGCAGCCAGGCTGGAAATATGATCAGGTCCCCCTCGCGCGGCGAGAAAACTCGCTGCTCGATGAACGGAGCGCGCAGCGCGCCGGACGACGGGTCGCCGCCGCCGCCAGGCAGGCCTCCCTCGTCGCGCAAGTTGAGCCGGAGACCGCCGGCGCCGCCGGTGGCGGCGCCCACGTCCGCCCACGGCACTCCCCGCGGGTCGTCAAAGACGAGCGGCGCGACGCCGCCGGCTGCGGGCAGCGACGCGTAGAAGACGCCCGAGCAGAGGTTCCCCTCGTGGTTGTGGCGGTGGTGCGCCTGCGCGGGAGCGCCGAGGAGCGGATCAGACGGTCGAGCGACGGCTCCCCCGCCCCGCGGCCGTGGCGGTGGGCGCGCCTCGCTCGGCTGCAGCACCGCCGCCCAGAGGGAGAGCGGCGCGTCCCGCAGCAGCGCCTCGAGCTCCTCCCTAGCCTACGGCGCCAAACACCCCACGCCGCGGTGGCGACCCCGCCCCGCCCCGCGCGCGCCTCCTCCCGAGTTCCTCAAGCGCCTCCCCTCCGAGCCGTGCGCTGTAGCTCAGGTGAGAGATGCACGCGCGCCGCGCCACCCGCTCGAGCGCGAGCACGTCCGGCTGCCGCCGCACGAGCCGCTGGTTGCGCATCTGCGCGCGGAAAAACTCGCCGTTCTCGAGCGGCGCGGTCGGGTCGGACCGGTTGGTCGACGCCTGGCGGCGGTCGGGCGAGAGGGGAGAGGCGTCGGCGCCGGGCGTGCACCGGCGTGTTCCCCGCGTGCCCCGCGCGCCTTTTGGTACAGCGCGAGTGCAAAGCGCGTCAGCCGCCGCCGGAAGGCCTCGTCGCCCGCCTAGAGGACGGCCGCCACAAGGAGCTGCCGACTAGGCTCCAGCCCGCCCGGCGGAAGGGCTCCGTCGCCAACCGTCCCGACGCCGACCAGAGTCGGAAAGACGCTGCCCACTCGGAGCGGAGAGAGCGAGTGAGCGCCATACGCACCACCGGAGGCACCCTCCCGAGCGGGCCGCCATCGCGAGACCAGCCCCCGCACCCACTCGCGCCACCCCCCGCCCTCGCCGCCCTCGCCGCCGGCGGAAGAGGCCTCCGCCTCCGCCTCAACCGCGTGCGGGCCGAGCCACTCGCCCGTCGGCTCGAGCACGAGGACGGACGCGAGCCGGTCGGGGGACGTCGCGAGCCCGACCAGGCCAGCTGCGAGTGGCGCCTGGCCCGGGGCCTCCAGGCCGCCGCAATCGGTGGCGGCCTGGAGCATGAACACGAGGAGGGTCTGATCTTACGTTGCATCGTGCCGTGTCTTCACAAAGGGCGTCGGATGCAGTCAAGGCGGCTGCAACACAGCCGAGTATCTCGAGCGCGCTAGTCAGAGCACAAGGAATCTGTTTTCCGCATCTAGAATTCCGGCCGTGGCGGCGGCGGCGGCGGCGGCGGTGGGGATGGCGGCGGCTTGGCGGCGCGCGAGCGTCTCCAGGCCTGCTCTGACGCGGGGCGGCGCGTGCGGCGCCCAGCGGTGGAGCAGCCGCAGCAGCGGGGTGGAGAGGTGCGGGTGTGCGCGGCGTGCGCCCGCGAAGGCAGTGCAGACCTCGAGCAGCGTGAGCTGGTCGGGCACGGACACGGCGAAGGCGACGTGCGCGGTGGCGGTGAGCTCCCTGCGGGTGGCAGGGAGGGCGGCCGCCGAGGGGCAGTGTGCGCAGCGGTGCTGCGCAGCGGCGTGGGTGCGGGTGCGCTCCACTGCCCTCTGCTACCCTCTGCTACCCTCTGCTACCCTCTCACCACGATGCGGCAGACGGGGAGGCGCGCAGGAGCTCGAGCGCCGCGGTGAGGGCAGAGTAGACTGCAGCCACGGCCTCCTCGCCGGACCGCCTACGCATCTGCCTCGCGGGGGCAGCCGCTTCAGCCGGCGTCGCCGTTGACGTCTGTCCCGCAGCCTCAGCCGCTGCCTCTGCCGCCGCCTCCGCCGCCGCCGGCTCCGCCGCTTTCTTTGCCGCGCTCTCTGCGGGGCTGCCGGGTGCCACCGTCTCGCTGCCGTCGCCCTGCGACGGCGAGCTGCTGGCGACGGCGGCCGGGTCGCATGGCCTGTTGTCAGCTCCGCGCCAAGTGCCGCTGCCGTCCCGCCAGGCAGCGCGGTGCTCGCTGTCGCCGAGCCGGCAGGCGGGAGGCTGCTGTCCAGGCGCGACGCCGCGCAGCAGCGGCAGCAGACGAGGTGGCGTAGCCAGCAGCAGACGCTCCCACAGCAGCGCTGAGTGCCAAGCCGCTTGGCTCTCCCTCTCCAGCCACGGCTCCCACGCCGCCGCAGCGGCACCGCGTGCAGGCATGAGGGAGAGCGGCGTCACCGCTGGCTGCCACGGCGACCATGCGAGGAGCAGCCCAACCGAGAGCCCACCGATGAAGTAGTGGGACTCGCTCGGCATCCTGGGCGGCGCGGCGGCCAGAAGAAGAAACCGTAGCCCTTCCAGGTGAAGGTGGTGCTGAGCTTCTTAGTTAGTCAAAAACAGTTCCGCGTACGACGGCGTGTACACACCTCACCGTATAAGCCCCACATACTCAGGCCGTCCAAAAAGCCCAGCACAGCACGAACATACTGTAATGTGTAATCAACCGCCGGGGCACTCTCTCCGCCTCTCCGAGGAGCCCACGAGGTGCAGCGCCTCGCTCCCGCCTCCGCGCCTGAGTCACGGCCCTGGCTCAGGGCTCTGCTCTGCAGACGATCTGATAATCCACGTCGCAGTCCGGCGGAACCGTGGGCAGGAGCGAGGCGCTCACGTTCGCAGCCGCGCCTTGCTCGGCGGCGGCGGCGGCTGGCGGCGCCTCGCCGCTCGCCTCGCCGCTCGAGCGCCGCGCCCGCCGCCTGCGCGCCGCGTCGAGGCGCTGCTCGACGCCCTCCATCACCACCGGCCCCGTCCCCGCGGCGCAGAGCAGCGGCAGCACGAGCTCGTAGCCGCGCGTGAGCTCGAAGAGGAGGAGCGCCTGGAGAGGAGCGGCATGCGTTCAGAGAGAGCAGGCTGTGACCAAGGTCGCGACTTCGAGGAGGAGGAGCGCCGACGTGAGCGGCGCGCCAAAGACGCTCGACAGGAAGGCGGCGCCGCCGACCATGGCGAAGGTGGGCGCGTTTGCCACGGAGGTTGCGCCAGCGAGGGCGGGCACGGCGGAGGCGAGGAGGGCGAGGGCCCGCGCGGCCGCCTGGGGGCACGGGACGACGACCTTCAAGGAGGTGTCTGTGTGAGGTGTCTGGGAGGTGTCCGGGAGGTGAGTGGGAGGTGTCGGGGAGGAGAGTGTCCAGGGAGTGTCCTGCACCCGGTGGTACACAACTCCGAGGGAGGAAGAGAAGAGAAGAGAAGAGAAGAGAAGAGAAGCTCCACCTGGTGGTACACAACTCCGAGGGAGGAAGAGAAGAGAAGAGAAGAGAAGAGAAGAGAAGAGAAGAGAAGCTCCACCTGGTGGTACACAACTCCGAGGGAGGCGCCGAGGAGGAGGGAGGGGGCGAAGGTGCCGCCGACGAGCCCGCTCGCCACGCAGCCGGAGGTGGCGACCAGCTTGGCGACCAGCAGGCCGGCGCCAGGCAGGGCGGGGCCGCCGCCCGCCGCAGCGCCGGCGAGGGGCGAGCCGAGCGCGGCGTTGAGCGTGGCGGCGCTCAGCGGCAGCGACTGCACGATCGCGTCCAGGGTGGCGTAGCCCGAGAAGAGGACCTGCGGGGCGGCGGAGGGGGAGGGCCTCGCGGGGAGGGCGTGGCGGAGCCCGCCTCGCGCGGTGAGGCGACCTGCGGGAAGGCGAGGCCGATCGCCCCGCAGCAGAGGCCGCCGAGGGCGGGGCGCGCCATCGGCGGGACGGCGCGGAGGGGCCCTCCGCCCCCGGCGCCGTCGTCCACGAAGAGGGCGCGGAGCGCGGCGGTGGTGCGCTTGAAGGCGAGCGCGGTCACCCCCGCGACCGCGCCGAGCCCCGCGTAGACGGGCAGGGCGGTCCAGCGCAGCCGGACGGGCCAGCCTCCCGGAGGGAGGGCGTGTCCGCTGCCGAGCACCTCCTGCGCAACGACCGCTGAGACGAGGCTCGAGAGGACGACGCCGGAGATGGCGGTGCGGGACTTTGCGTCCAGCTCTGCAGAGTCGCGCCTCGCCTCCAGCTCCGACACGGACCCGACCTCGGACGCAGAGCCGACGCCAAGCGCGTCCGCCTCGCCGCCGCCCCCGCCGCCCTCGTCCACCGCAGACCGCACCGCCGCCGCCACAATCTCGAGCGCGAAAAAGACGCCGGCGAGGGGCGCGTTGAAGCCGGCCGCGACACCGGCCGCCGCCCCCACCGCGAGCATCTGCCTCGACCTCCTCTGCAGGTGCGCCGCGCCCTTCCAGCCCCGCCTCGCCGCCACCGACCCGACCAGGCGGGCGACGCCGCAGCCGATCTCGACCGAGGGACCCTCGGGGCCGAGCGAGTTGCCGCTGCCGAGGGTAACCGCCGAAGCCGCCGCTCGTGTCGCAAAGGCGGCCGTCCGGAGTGGCACCCCCGACTCGACCTCGGCCACGTGCTCCGCAAGGCCGGGGCCGAACCGTCCGCCCGGGCTCAGCGCCCGCAAGACGGCGACGGCGACCCCGCCGACCGCGGGCAGCAGCAGCATGGCCGCGCCGCGACGGGCGCCGCAGCCGGTCCACCCCGCGGTCGTGTCTGCTCCAAACAGCGCCACCGCGCACGCGACGATGCTCAGCTTGAAGCCGGACACCGCGGCGCCGGTGCAGGCGCCCGTTGCGGCAGAGGCGGCGAGGAAGCGAGAGCGCGAGGAGAGCGACGTGGCGTCCTCCTCCTGGTCACGGACCGCAGCCAGCGGCGCCGCTCTTGCCGGCACCGAGGTCCGGAATGGGCACCGCCGGTGGGGTGGAGCTGGTGCCGCAAGAGGAGCCTCCGACCAAAGCCGAGGATGCGAGCTCATGGGTGCGTATGAGGCGGCTGAGGTGGCAGCCAGGAGGGAAAGGGAGAGCCGCGACATTGTGTGCATACCGGTGCGGCACTCGCGCGAGCGAGCGAGCGAGCCGAAAAAGAAACAGAAAAAAAACAGCCCCTTGCGGTGGCGGCGTGCCGTCCTCCCATCCCTCCCTTGGGTTGTCTGTTTTCTTTATTTTTTAGAAAGAACGAAAACAGACAACCCAAACGAGGCATAGGGGAGGAGGACAGGGTCCCCACCTGCACGAGCAGGATTTTGGAAGGACGATCAGGGGGACAGGTGGGCTTCTCCCTTCTTCGCGCACGTCTTCGAGGCACACCTCTCGTCATTGCCACAGCATGTCGTTCCTCGCACCGTACCCACGCGACGGCACCAGCTGACCGAGATCGCGCTCCCTGACGGCTGCCGCGTGCCTTACGGGGGCGGCTCACGGCGCGCTCAACAAGTCATCCGAGGGCGGACTGCTGTTACGCTCGACGAGTTGCGACGCCGCTCTAGCAGCTCGAGTTCAAACGCGAGGCGACCATCGTCTCCGCCGAGCTCGACGACGAGGCGGCCGTTATTATCTCCTTCCTGCCCTCGGAGGGCTGCGGCGGCGGTGAGAGTCGGCGGCGCGCTCCCGATGACAAATATTCGCCTCACAGTCCAACACGGCTGCTTACACGCCCAGCCGTGCTCTGGTGCGTCGCTATCTTTGGCCGCACGGACCATACCACACCCCGGAAAAAGTTGGAACCCAGCGCGCCTTGGCTGCTTGGTCATTTGTGAGGATTCGCCGCCTCGCTTGGACCGGCGAGCGCACACGGCCGATCTCCGCCCGATGCCGGCGCAGCGCACCGTTCCTACCAGCTCGCAGTCACGAAACAGCGAGAGCGGCGCGCCGGCCGCGGCGGCGAGCGCGCCGCCGCTCCGGCCACTCATCAAGGTCGCTCTGCTCGGCGACAGCCAGGTCGGCAAGACGTCACTGATGAACCGGTTCATCGAGGGCACGTTCGACGACACGGAGCTGCAGACGCAGGGCGTCAACTTCATGGAGAAGACGGTCAGCATCCGCGGGCACGAGGTCACGTTTTCGATCTGGGACATCGGAGGCCACAAAGACTTTGAGTCGATGCTGCCGCTCGCGTGCAACGACGCGGCGGCGATGCTGCTGCTTTTCGACCTCTCCAAGCCGGAGACGCTCGACCGGATCCGGGTCTGGCACCAGAAGGCACGAGAGCGAAACAAGTTCGCTACGCCCGTCCTGGTCGGCTGCAAGTTTGACCTCATGCTCGAGGCGTCAGCCCTCTTTGCCCCGCCCCGCTCCGCCCTCTCCGAGCGACACGAGCTCCCGCCGCCCGCCTCCCCGGCAGGCGCCGCTGGAGGAGCAGCGGCACATTGTGCAGATGAGCCACCAGTTCGCAAAGGCGCGCCACCGCTCCGCACCACTCCGCACCTCTCTCTCACCGCACCCGGCGATGTCCGCGCCGCGGCTCGCAGCGCTTCCAGCAACACGCGTTGCGACCTGCCACCCCTTCCCAGGCCATCAACGCGCCGCTCGTCTTTTGCGCGCCGTCGGTGCCGATCAACGTGACCAACGTCTTCAAGGTCCGGCCCCCCCACCCTCCCCTTCCTGCTCCTCTCCCGCCCGGCGGGCTCTCTCTCCCCTCCCTGGCGTGCTCTCTCTCTCTGTCTCCGTTCCCTCGACCCCCCCCCCCCCCCCCTCCCCCATCCCCAGGTCATCCTCATCTCTCTCTTCGGCCTCGAGCCCGCAGTCCCGCAGCTCACCCGGCTGGGCGAGCCCCTCCTCCTCTACGCCGGAGGCGACCCTCCCACCCTCCCACCCTCGCCTCAACACCCTTCCCTCCCCTCCCTCCCATCTCGCCGCCCTCCCATCCCTCGCCTCCACTCGCCGCCGAGCCGCCCCGCCGCAACCACACCACCAACACACGTCTCCCCTCAGGCGAGCTCGACCTCGACTCGGTGGCGGAGCCGCCGCCGCCGCTGCTGCCGCGCAGCAATGGTGGCGCCTCACCCCTCGCCGATGTCGCCGGCATGGCGCCCGCTTCGCTCCGCTCGAACTCGTTCGGCGGCGGGCACGCCGGCGCAGAAAAGACGTGGGGCGCCTCGTCGGGCGCGTCTCTTGGCGTGTGAGAGTGTGTGTCCTGAGAGTGTCACAGTCACCTGGGAGCTTATGACCTGGGAACTATATGTGTATGTCAGTGCGCCTATGCTCATGTCACATGTGTGGTCTCCTTCCCCCTTTTCTCGGCACAGGCACCGCCCACCCACCTCGAGCCACCCACGCCCACGCGCACCCCAGCACACCCCCCACCACCAAACTAGAACGCGAACGGCGGCGTTTTGCTCGTCCCCTGGCCTGTGGGGTTCTCGTGCGGTCGTGGACGTGCGGTATGAGAGTTGACGTGAGACACCGTATGCACTAGCACATGCGACATGCACATGACAACATGGACATGGACATGGACATGGACATGGACATGGACATGGACATGGGCATGGCTGTGCGCGGCCGCGCGCGAGGCCCGAGCAAATCGCCGACGAAAAGGAAAGATGTCGCGCAAGCCTCTCTCTCAGCACTGCCACTGCGCACTGGCACGACAAAGGGCGTGGACTGGCGCATACTAGTACACACATCGGCACACACACACACACACACACCAACAAAGAGAAGCGGAAGAAATTAATTGAAGAAAATAGGCGAAGCTCGAAGGACGCTGGACGGGCGGGAAGTAAGTCGGGACAGACGTACGTTGAAGAATATGTATTGGCGGGGACGCAAAGATGGGACGGAGGGTGGATAGTGTTGCCAACAACTTTGCCAACAACATACCTGATACATGATTACTTTCCGGCCACAAACCTACACATTTTGCCGGCGCCGCGTTTCCGAGGACGAGTCGGGAATAGGAAATTGGACAAATTTGGGTGGCCGTCATGTCGACGAATTCGTCGACGCGGCAGCAGCACCCGCAAAGGAAGCCGCGACATGACGGTCGCTCGTGCGCTGTGTATCGCCGCTACCTTTGCGGGTGCTGCTGCCGCGTCGCGTAGACTGCAGCTGCGCGCGACCAGCGTTTGTTCGACAGCAGCCAACAGTGCAAGCTGGTGCGCGGCCCGCGCATTGGAGAATGAGGCCCGAGATTGAGCCAAGCTCAGCCGCGGCAACGCCCTCCTGCAGGGGGGGAGGCACCCCGAGTGCCACGATGAGCTCGACCGACGGCACGTATTCGGCCTCCTACTGCGTCGACGGCGACTATTCGACGTCAGCGACCTTTTGCAAGAGCAACTATGAGTCAGACGCTTGGATCGAGATCGTCACCGAGCAAGCCTCAGGCGGGACACCCATCAACCACGTGATCCTCTACACAGATGATTCGGGCAAGAGCGATCTCGACGGCACGATTTCTGTGTACGTGTCCAGCAGCTCCATGGCAGGGAGTCCTGACTCGAGCTACCTTTGCTACAACGCCACTTGGACCGGGCTGGAGGACGCAAACGAGCTAACGTCTTCGTCTCTCTCTCTCGGCCGTACGGCTCGACGAGGCTCTCCGCTCTGAGTCCACCCCCGCCCTCTTGCAGGTTTACGGACTGCGAGATCGACGTCTCGTCGGCAGCAAATTGCTACACCCTGATCGTGTTGGGCGGTGACCGCTTGCCCGCCGGTGGCCCGTGCTCGCCGTTGCCGTCCACACCCCACTCCATGATGGTGCTGTGCCGCTAGGCTCAAATCGCCGCATCAATCTCGCAGAGGCGGCCGTGTGCTACAGCGACTCTCCACCTCCTCCCCCGCTGCCAAACCCACCTCCTCCCGCAACCCCCGTCGGCGCCGAGCAAGACCCCCACATCGCCTTTGCTGGAGGCGGGCGCGCCGACTTTCGAGGCCACGACGGCAGCTACTACGCCTTCCTCTCGGCTCCTGGAGCTCAGGTCAACGTCAAGACGGAGGATGCCACCTTCAAGCTGCACGACGCGCGGCTGGTTGTTGACGGCTCATTCATCACCGAGGTCCACGTGATCGCGGTCGTGGGCGGATGGAAGAAGAAGGCGTTCACGTCGTCGTTTTGGGGTGCCGCTCTCAACGAGTTCAACACCGGGCACGGCTTTGTGAACGGCTCGTGCGGCTACCACGGCGGTTTTGCCATGCTGGTGGCCCACTCGAGGCGGTGCGAGGAGGCGGTGACCCGCGTCAAATATTCCTCCGCCACCATCTCTCTGCGCGGCTGGCAGATAGCCATTCGCGGCAATCACGTGTACGGCCGAGTGAGCGGCCCGACGCACCGGCTAGACGTCTCCTTCGCCGCCAGCAGCGGCGCGGCCTCTCGCGACGCGCCCCATGGCTTAGTGGGCCAGTCCTTCCTCTCGGAAAAGCGGCGCTCGGGGAAGCTCGACGCGTACCCAGCGTCCGGCCGGATCGCGACCAGCGCGCAGGCGGAGGGTGCGATCGAGGGCTCGGCGGCCATGTACGAGGTGGCCTCCTCGCACGCCACCAGGTTTGCCTTCTCTCGATTCGATGCGGAGCCCGGCCTAGAGCCCGGCGAGGCACGTTCCGCGCCGGGAGCCGGCATCATGTGAGGCCACGGAAATTCTAAGAAAAAAGAAAGAAAGGAAACAGAGAGCCCATGGGAGGGATGGGAGGACGTCATTCTCTGCTTGTTTTGCGGATGGCAGAATTCTTTTTCACGAGGTGTGCACACCTGTGTTAGTGCCAGTGCGCGCCAGTCCCGTGCCCCCAGTATGTAAGAAAGAAAGAAAACAGACAACCCAAGGGAGGGATGGGAGGACGGCACGCCGCCACCACACAGGGATTTTAAGGAGAGAAGTGCGGTGCTAGCCGTCGCCCACCCTTGGGCGTCCGCCTCTTCCTTCGCAGTTTCTCGCCAATTCTCGCAGCGACCTTCATGCCACCTCGCGTTCTTCCCACTCTCGTCCTCGTTCTCTCCCGTGCCCAGTGTCGTGCAACCGCGTCCGACTTCTTTTTCAGAGCCCCGTGCCTAGTGTCGTGCGAGCCACTTGGAGCACTTGGAGTGCAGTCGGTAACCTCACATCCAGGGCCGGGGAGCTAAGAAGCGTACCCAGCGGGCCGGATGATCGGCATCGGGCTACGGGCTAGAGAGCCCTGACCCCTAGGGGGGTGCGCGTTCGCAGGGAAAGGGCTGTAAAGTAAACACGGGTCCCCGAGGGTTAGCTCTGCGCTCCGGGTTTCCCCTAGCAGCGGAACGCCCCCTCAGCTCTACTCGGGGCTAGTAGACACCAGACACTATAGCACGACAACACACACATTCCTCACTGACATCACCGCTCGGAACCCCCCGCTCCGCGCACGGTCTCCTCACCCCCACTCCGAGGGGGGCCCTCCCTCCCCTCGGTCCTCCCTCCTGTTCGCCTTCCGATGGTTACGCGACGACTGTGGGGCCCGACCTCCCCTCCTAGCCTTCTTTGGCCGCGGCCCCGCCGCCGTTTCGTCCTCTCTGCCCGATCCCGCTGACTCCGCCTCCGGCGACCCCGCTCCCGACTCCCTGGGCGAGGACGGTGGCATTGGGTCGCACCCACTTCCACCCCCGGAAGGTCGAGCCCGCTCTCCCTGGTCGACGAGTCGCGCCCGCACCCGCGGCCTCTCTATCGTCCTCGGCTCGCCCCCCCCCACCGCCGGCTCCTCTTCAGGCTCGGGGAGGCGTGGCCCTGCTCCCTGTCGAAGATCACGGTGGTCCGGCTGCCACTGCGACGGGCCTTCCCCCGGTGAGCTCGTACGTCCCGACTCCACTCGCAGAGGCCGCGTCAGCTCATCTCTCGCCTCCTCCGACAGCTGACCCCAAGCCCCCCCTGGGGCCCTCCGGCCTCGGCCTTCCGGCTCGCCGGCGGGCCCGTTATCGTATTGCGGCAACTCCCCTCCCCCAGCTCCTCCTCCCGGGTACTCCAACCTCTGGCGGGGCGGTTCCGGATCCCCCAGGGTATTCCGAGCGGGTCCATACGGTGGCGGCCCCGTCGGCGGCGGGGGCGGAGGCGGTGGCGGGGGTGGCGGGTACGGTGACGGCCCTCGCGGCCGTAACGCCTGGTGTGGAGCCGCTGGGGCGGCCCCACGACCCTGCAGCCATTCCAGCGGCGGGGGCGGAGGTGGTAGTGTGGGTGGCGGAAACGGTGGCGGCATTGGCGGCCGCACCGCCTGGTGTGGAGCCCCAGCGGCGGCCCCTCGACCCAGCGGTCGCTCCAGCCGCGGGGGCGGAGGCGGTGGTGGTGGGGGCGGGCCTGGTGGCGGTGCCGGCAGCCGCAACGCCTGGAGCGGGGCCTTGGGGGCGGCCCCCTGCCCCTGCCGTCGTTCCAGCCGCGCTTCCGCGCGGCTTGTCGGCCCAAAATTCTTTTTCAAGCGGCCATGGCGGCAAGGGCGGAGGCGGGAGGCTCCGACCAGGTGTCGACGCTGACGTCTCTCCTATCCGGGCTGGAGGAGGGCGCCGTTCCGACTCGCAAGCAGGCGTGTTGCCGAGCAAGCGCGCGCGAGCCATTCCGCAAAGCCCCGTCCGCCGCACATCCGCCGGGTCCGACTCCTCCGCCGTGCCCGCGCCCGCAGATCCAGGCCCTCTCGATGGAGTTTCGGACCGTCGACGCCGCGCTCGTCGTGAGCCTCGTGCCAAAGCAGCAGCTCCAGAGCCTGGTGGGCGCGCTCGAGCCGCTGCTCCGCTCGGACGAGGGGGCCGAGTCGGAGTCCGTCGGCGGCGAGGCGCAGGTCGAGCGCGTGCTCGAGGCGGCCCTCCTCTACCTCGATGTCGTCACCGTGCCAGACATGCCGCGAGAGATGCTGGTCGAGGAGCTCGTGGAGGCCGGCCCTCTCTCCGCGCCCCGCCCTGCTCTCGTGCCCCACCTCCCACTTCCCGCGTCCGCGCGCCCACCGTGCGGTCCCACGCCCGCGGCAGCGCGGGGAGCGCCGGCGCGTGGCTCGACTCCACCCCCGCCTCCGCCCACTGCACCCCCACAGGCGACGCTGGCGCTCTGCAAGCAAGAGCTGGCGCGGCTCGGCGCTGCGCTGCTCGCCGCCTCGGATGGCCCCCCCACCCCCGCCACAGCCCGCCGCGCCTCGTCGTCGGGCGGGCGCAAGCGGGCGGAGCCGCACGAGTACGCGCACGCCGGCCAGCTCGCCCTGCTGTTCGGCCGCATGCCCGGCCTCGTCGCGACGCGATGCCTCAACGACGCCACCGCGCTCCGGCTGGGCCGGCTCGCAATCGACGCGGCCTTCAGCC